TGTCAGTTCAAATCCCACTATTTGATTACTATAAACCAAGAGAAGACGGTGGGTGCTGTTGTTAAATCATCTGTCAGTTCAAATCCCACTATTTGATTACTATAAACCAAGAGAAGACGGTGGGTGCTGTTGTTAAATCATCTGTCAGTTCAAATCCCACTATTTGATTACTATAAGCCAAGAGAAGACGGTGGGTGTTGTTGTTAAGTCACCTGTCAGTTCAAATCCCACTATTCGATTACTATAAACCAAGAGAAGACGGTGGGTGCTGTTGTTAAGTCACCTGTCAGTTCAAATCCCACTATTCGATTACTATAAGCCAAGAGAAGACGGTGGGTGCTGTTGTTAAATCATCTGTCAGTTTAAATCCCACTATTCGATTACTATAAGTCAAGAGAAGATGGTAGGTGCTGTTGTTAAGACACCTGTCAGTTCAAATCCCACTATTCGATTACTATAAGCCAAGAGAAGACGGTGGGTGTTGTTGTTAAGTCACCTGTCAGTTCAAATTCCACTATTCGATTACTATAAGCCAAGAGAAGACGGTGGGTGCTGTTGTTAAATCATCTGTCAGTTTAAATCCCACTATTCGATTACTATAAGCCAAGAGAAGATGGTGGGTGCTGTTGTTAAATCATCTGTCAGTTCAAATCACACTATTCGATTACTATAAACCAAGAGAAGACGGTGGGTGCTGTTGTTAAGTCACCTGTCAGTTCAAATCCCACTATTCGATTACTATAAACCAAGAGAAGACGGTGGGTGCTGTTGTTAAGTCACCTGTCAGTTCAAATCCCACTATCTGATTACTATAAGCCAAGAGAAGACGGTGGGTGCTGTTGTTAAATCACCTGTCAGTTCAAATCCCACTATTTGATTACTATAAACCAAGAGAAGACGGTGGGTGCTGTTGTTAAATCACCTGTCAGTTCAAATCCCACTATTCGATTACTATAAACCAAGAGAAGGCGGTGGGTGCTGTTGTTAAGTCATCTGTCAGTTTGATATAGTCCTCTTAAAGGTATGCGAGAGTCTCCAATGGGTCAGCAATAAATTTACCGAATTACAGCACTAAAAACAAGGGTTCGATATCCCACGTCAGACATAGCGCTGATAGACTATTGTGTAGCTTTGGGGTTAAAAAAAAACAAACAATTTTTTCATGATTTTTTTCAAAACAAACATACAAACAAAGCATTTTTGTCTTCCTCTCATTACACAATATTTGCTTCCCCACTAAAAACATTTCACTCTGAATTCATGTTGCAAAGTTAACAATCACCTTTGTTATTCACATATTTCATGGAGTTCGCGTTGTTGGAATTTTTGTGATATTTATGGGAATATATATATATACGTTTCTTTTTTTCTTAACAGGTTGGCTCCACCAACTGTCCAACAAATTGGGTCACGATCTTGTAAACTATACAGATACAGCAACTGCCTACATTACCGCCCTCTACTTCACTACCAGCAGCCTTACCAGTGTAGGATTTGGGAACGTGTCGGCCAACACTAACACAGAGAAAATATTTTCCATACTCACTATGCTCATTGGCGGTAAGAAAGTAGATTGCACCAATAAAAACGCATGAAATAGTAATAATAATAATTTTACACCAATAACAATGGACCAAAATTCCAACTGATAAAATACAGGTAAAACCATGTAGATTGTAACTAGGGATGACGTGTTTGTACCTATTGGATACTTGTTCTTATGGAGAATGATACACAGTTCTATAATACTAACTAAAACTCTAAGCCTTACTAACATATCTTCACAACAATTGGTAAGAATTGTGTAAAATTACAAGTATTTTGTAAAAAAAAAAAAATTATTTTAGTTCAGTATTTTAACTGAAGATCTGTTATTTTTGTGTTGTAGTTATTTGCACTCAGACTCTGAATATTTCAAGTATTATCATCAAAGTATAATTCAATGAAATGTTTAAACTTAAGAAATAGAAAAATATACACATTAGGTCGTTAAGAAATTAATGTTGTCTTTTTTTAAGATAGAAAAAAACCCGACAACTTATATATCAAAACAAAACATGTAGTTAACGAAATAGTCTCC